AAATTCATTGTTTGTACTTTGTAAGAATGGGTCACATACCAATTTATTATCATATTCACAAAGCCTTTGATACAATGAAAATACAAATTTTGGAAAATATCATAGAATCATCTATTATTGCTGTAGTAGGTAGGGTCATGCTAAATATCATCATTTTACAATGTCATTCAAATATAATAAACTCGTAAATGTTGTAAATTATAAAAATTATATCCATAACTGATATGATTAATAATGATAAAACAATTTAACTATATTTATTATTTAATGTTTAAGTGAGACCGCGTTTTTTAATTCGGTTATTTAAGGGTTATGATTAATAATTGCCAATAAATCGATATATATATTTTATAATATTTTATAATTTCATTAAATCATAAAGATAAGTATGATATGAACTACTACTATATTATAAATGTATCAAACTTAAATACCTATTGTCATTCTAATATTATAAAATGAAATTATGTTTTACAACATTAAAAACGAACACAATTTGTACCTACTAAGGATTTATTATTTATTTTAAATATTAAATAGTGGGAATTTAAATATTTTTGGAAGATAATGTGAATCAATTTGACGAAAATATCATTCAAATTTTTAAGTAACGTACCTAATATTGTTTTATATAATATAATATTATGTTTGAATTTTTAAATTCAAATATTTAATTTTTATATCAATAAGTTCAAAGTTTGATTAATAACATTGATTACCTTAAATGCATTATTTTTCACCTTTTACGAAAATCACAATTTAGTATGAGATAGTATGTAATATGTTTTTAAATAAACAGAATAATGTTTTTGAACGATTTGTAAATATTTAATCATATTATTATTTATTTATTAAAGTGTGAGGCTCTCTTATTAATCCTTAACAGCCTACTTACATTATTAAAATGTATGGTGTACCTACCTACCACGTTATTGATATTTCGAATTTTAAAAGGTAAAAAGTATGCGTCATACGTAAGCAGTAGTAAAATTGTAAATATATTATATTATAAATAGATGATGTCTCAATTCAATGAAATCTAGGTTTATCGTATACATGCAGAGTGCCTTATTTCATATCTTATGCATTCGTGATCTGAAAAAAAAATCGGTGATAACAATATTATCTTGTTTGTGTACAAAATGTAAGCACAATAATATTATAATGAAACGAGATTTTATCCACCAACTAATACGACACAGTTTTTCGAATGCTGTTAATCAGAATATTTCAAAGCGCTCTAGACATTAGATGTTGGGTGTTATTTTTTTCTCCGGGAGCAATATTTGAATAGAAATGACACTAACCTGATTATCTGAATAAAATTAATGTTGTTTGAAACAGTATCAAGTTCCCTTATGTGGGCGACATGAAATTGGGGTTTCTCGGCCTCGCGGTTAATGACGTAACCAATTTAACCGTTCCCATTTGATTGATGCCCAGAAAACGTATTTATTAACACCATCACCGAGTTTGTTAGTTCCAATCCATTATGCATAATAATTTTGCACGTGATCAATAACATAATTATATAATAATAATTCAACAGCTCGATGATGAATTTCTAATCTTTACATCGATATCTATATAAGATATGTATATTCCTACACTGTACCTATCCAAATAAAATGGTCCAAAATTTTATATTGCACTATGGTATTGCAAGGAATCTATTTTACTTTTCGAATGATATTAGGTATAGACCAGTTACCAGTACCAATTATTTAATTTTAACTTTCCTATTTGGTGGTATCAATTTTATGGTAAATCAAACTTCTTACCTAATAATATCTTCTTTTTTCTTAAAAACCCTAAAAAACCTTTTATGTTTTTTATGTTATATCATATTTTTATATAGATACTTATTAGATGTCTAAATTAGGTAGGTATACCGAGTAATTATAATTCAAAACTAACGCTTCGATTAAATGTAGTACCGAATAAGTTTGTCTAATTGTCTATATTTTAAAATAAACAAGAAAACCAAAAAACTACAGAAATTTGAAAAGTGGCAGTTATCTGTTGAACACTTAATAATTAAATATTAAATATCAATTCAGTGACGATTTTAGTTACGATCGCTGATCGTTGAAAATATGAAGAATTAAAAATAGGCACCTACATTCAAAAAAAATGTTCTAAAAGGTACATATAGTCATCATGCACGTACATCAATGATTACTATCAATAATAATATAGGTAGGTAATTAAGTACCAATTGAGTGAGGATTAAAGGATGTCTCTACATTTTCCACCATAATGCTATAGGTATTAATTTTGCACTACATGATATAAGATAATTTGCATGGTATTTCAAATAAATAATATTCATATACCGATGTTTCAAATAACACATTAAGTATCAATGTGTTTACATATAATTTGAAATAAAATTCCAATTTTAACTTATTTCGAAGAGTTTAAAAATTATTGGTAGGTATCTTTGAAAAAATCATTTGTACTTAGTCCTAATATTTTTATACAAAACAACACACCCGCTTTGGCTGTAATTCACGCTACTGATGATGCAGCACTGTACCTACGCCCTACACTATTGCTGCTGCTATAGGTACTATTAAAACGCAGCCATACAATAATATGAAAATTGAAAACCCCTCTAAACATTTTTTTATCTTGTGCTACTATGGGGACTAAAGCAAGGAGAGCGTTTAAATAATACGTTTTTGCATTAAAAATATTATCATGCACAATCTACAATATTGTCTGCGTATAGGTACTATCATTACTGAAATATCATAATGTCCATCCAATACCTATAATATGTTCAGGCGCGTAGCCAGGGGGGTGTTACAGGTGTAGTAACACCCCCCCCCCTCAACCGTGGTGTACTATGTTTTATAATTTAAACCTGGACACGGGCACACGGAATTAGATAATTATTATTTTAGACCATTCTGTGTCAGTTTATCGTTGACTCGTTTCATGTACGATACAAGATATCTTTTAATGCAGAGTATTTACAACTTGTTTACAACTTCATCATAAGAGTGTTACTCTATGGTATCAACTATCATTGGGGATTACAATTTCAATACCTCGACTAGCTATAAACCGAACAAATCGTTTTAGAATTTCAACAGAATCACCGGAAGTCTATTTTAGGATTTTGATTTTTGTACCTTTTTTGGATCATTTCTGTGAGCAACTAAATGACAGATTTTTGAACCATAAATCACTATTAAAACAATTTACTTGTTTAATAAATGCAAATGAAAAAATGATACCGAATTTAAAGAACTTCTTAAGACATATTCTTCAGATATTGAAGCTGATGAAATATCTGCAATTGGTGAGTTTGCAATATGGTATGAACATATAAAAAATAAAAATCCTAAAAATCCTAAAAATGTTACCGAAGCCTTCTTTGACAGCAACGAAGACATATTTCCTACTGTTTATCGACTTTTACAAGTATTGATTACTTTACCTGTAACAACTGCAAGCAGTGAAACGTCTTTTTCCTCATTAAGACGCTTGAAAACATATCTAAGAAATACAACTGGTGAAAATCGCTCGAATGGCTTAGCTGTTATAAATATTCATCGAGATTTAGTCGTAACCACAGACGAAATAATAGATACACTAGCCTCAAAAAGTCGACACATTAAGTTAATTTAAAAATGTATTCATTTTTTTTTTATTGATAATAATATTATATAAGAGAACTATTATTCTAAACTATTATCTATTCACGGGTAAGTTGTAATACGTTTGTATAATAAATAATTTTCAAGCGAGATATGAGCATTTTTAATATTTCCATACACTTATTTTTCTCAGAAGTGAAAGTATCGAAAAATCGCCCAAGCTAAGACCCAGATAATGTTCTTACCTAAAAGTTTGATAATATGTCGATTCACTCTAGTATCAAAACTAACAGCTCACTATTGAAAATAGTGAACGACAATTTGTTATGTCGTGCGTGTGTAAGACAGAGACAACACACGAGTCTTAGCGTCCTCTTAAGTTTGAATAACACCCCCCCTTTGAAATTTCTAGCTACGCGCCTGAATATTAATAAAATAATATTATTATTATGCATTCTACGAGCCTATATATGAGTGACACGCTGCAGTAAAACGATGTTCTCAGTTGAACGTATATAGTAAAAATCAATTATTATTGTAATATGCAGTTTATCAACTTTAATACTACTTTTCCCCGATTGAACCGTCCAAACATATTATTATACTCACTAACACACGCCTATAATCTTTCCTAAATCTATAATAAGACTCGTAACAATATATTATACTGGTATATCATACTGTAATAAAATAACTCCCAAGTACCCAGTTCAACTGGCGGTTGAGAATGTGATATTATTATTGGCTGGCTTTTGAATTATAGGTACCTGAATATAATTCTGGGAGTGATCCATTCAACGTAAGGTACACTCGTTATTTCAGAAAACATTAACTTTTTGAAAATATTTCTTTTAAATAATTTTAATTCGTTATCATTTTTGAAATTTTTTAGATAACTTTAATATTTTAATGACTTGATATTTTGTTAAAAAATATTTTCAAAAACATTAATAGTTTTTGAAATAATGATTGTTTTATGCTAAATGGATCGCCCCGTAGATATATAAATCCGATATTTGGTGACAACATATTATAATCGTTTTGAACGACACAACGATAATGTATGGATGTAAAAAAATTATATAATACTACAACGACAATAATTTATATCGGATGTTGGTTAGATATCTATATACATGTAAGCCAGCGATTTAGGTTACATAATATTATGACATGCAGTATGAAGTATATAATATTATTATTATAATATCACTACTTAAGTAGGTATGTATATACATTTACAGTTTGCAATGACGTCTTATGTCGCGTATTATGTTTGAATAATATTATAGTGTCCTGACCACGGTTATCTACTAGCAGATAAACGTGGTCCTGACCGAAATCAATTAAGGATCAATTATGCGTTATGCGCATAATGAATCATCTACAAATCTACGAACTACTGTAATTAGACTCTTCGAACGACTTGTCGATGGACATGATGTCGGAACACGTCCTAGACAGTGACATTTTGCTGCCGTCCACTGCGGCTGTGGTCGGCTGGGACTGTTGTCGTATGGGTGTCGACCCGGGCGAACGGTCATTGGCGAACCGTTGCGGCGATGACATGGCCGAATCGCCGCCAGTACCGCGGTTCGCGGTCCTGGCCCACTCGGCTGCATCGACGACATCGTTGGCCGACGAACGCCATCCGCCGCCGCGACCCCCGACACTGCCACTGACGACGCCGCCGCACACCGGCGAACCGGACCTCCGACGGGCCGCCACCACGTCCGAGCAACTGGAGTCCTGTCGTCTGCGCTTCGACTTGACCGCGTGGGGCACGTCGCAAGTGGCCGACCGCGTGCACCGCTTGGCCCGCTGCCGGTGATGATCCGCCGCCATGGCCGAGGCTGCGGCGTACGCGATGATCGTGTCGTCCAACTCGACGGGCGTCTGCCTGCGCAGAACGTGCCGCCGGGCCGTGTCCGACCGGCGGCTCCTGTCCCGCACCCGCATCGTTACCGGACACTCATTGGGCACGTGCAGGTCCAGTACCATCGAGCCCCGAGATCCCCTGGAAGACGTCCTCATAGGATCGTTGACCGACTCCCTGCTGCCGTCGCCGCCCTGCTTGTTGCTGTTGCTGCAGTTGAAATTTCCAAAATTGTTGCTGTTGCTGTACGTCAACAGACCCGAACTGCTGTGCCGGGATCGGGGCGGAGAGAACAGCGGGTTGTAGTCTTGCGTGTCCATCGACATGGCCTGTCGGCGCAAAGTGTGCGGACTGAGCAGCGCTCGGCCCGCGCCGCCGCCACCGCCACCTCCAGACGACATCACGTGCACCGCGTGCTTGTGCCTGAGGGGCAGCCTGCCGACGCCGGACTGTGCGGGGCCCCCTGGTCCACGGTTCGCCGACGCCAACGCGGCAGCCGCCAGGTTGGGCGCCGAAGGACTCTTGTTCATCTTGTGCCGTCCGCCGTCACACGGGTTCTGGTAGCTGCTCCGGCCGCTGTCACCTCTGGACAGGTAACCGGCGGACGGCGTCTGGCGACCGTGGCCACGATGACCCGACACCTGACCCCCACCAACGCCACTGCCCATTATTTTCAATTGATTGGACATGAATTTGGCCGCCCGATCGCGAGCCTCGAATGTCATCACGCACGCCGCCACCACGATGAACCCTGAAACATGTATTATCCTCCGTCACTACACCAGGGGTTCTCGACCTTATAATTAGGTATCTCTGATCCACGGTGTAGGTAAAACGGTGTAGTCACTAGAGTTTAAAAGTGAGTTCTAATCAGACGGCACTTTGGTTAGCGCTCCTTCCGCCAGGTAGCGCTAAAAAGGCCGATCAACAGCCTGCTGTTATCGAAAAAGCCGCATTGTAATGCTGTTTTGCGTATTATCCGCGGAAAAGTTATACAATTTCAGACTTCAGTGTTCATTCAAGTTTATAATAAATATAATCAAATATGCACTATATAATATTATAATACTATTTACAAATAAGTTCCTATTTTTCAGTGGTATTTTATTATCCCATACAGATAGTAAGTCCTGCAAGATAAATAATTTTAAAATGTTCATGTTTATACCAGAATACTTGTATTAGCTGTTATGAAGCTTTTTACAATTATATTTTACACTTAAGAACCTTTAAAATTTATGGATGATTTAATTATAAATAAAAAAATAAATTATTGGCAGAATACCTACAACATAATTTGATTAGGTAGGTAATTAATTTTATATTTTTGTTTTTAAGGATATATTCTCTTTTTGTTATTTTTGTTTTCTGTCTTTCTAGTTGTATTTTTATTTATCCCTCTGTTATTAGTTTCATATTGGCCAATTATTATGCAATGTTTTTTTTTCTTGTTAAAGGGCTTATGTCCATTGATTATTAACAAATAAAGAATTTAGACTACCTATTCAAACATTCTACTTGTTAGTCTTCTTAAAAATATTAAGTCTCTATTTCTCTAAAAGTTAACTTAGAATTTAAGAGCCCTGGAGAAAATTTTGATATAAATTACATTATGCAAACATTAAATTTGTGTGCAAACAGTTCATTATTATTGGTGTGAATGTGTGATGGATAATTAATTGTATATTTAATTATTTTAGTATTCAGTTATGAACTAATAAGTAATATGTATTGTATAGTTTTCTTTTGCCTTAAAAAAAATGTTATATAAAGATCAGTAGAATAATAAAAAAAAAATTGTGGACACCAGAGTGCTCATGGTGGTCAACGTGTTAAGTTGGGTTACATGTATGTTCAGGTACATAAGTACACAAAATAGTATTATAATTTAAAACAAAAAAATAACTATTGGGTAAGTATTACTTGTGGTGGATGGAGCATAGGTGGTACATTCTTCCCTTCTGCTTTTATTTTTTTAGTATTACTCAAATAGCCAGATGTACATGCAGGAACAAAAAATTTGTTAGGCATATTAATTAGGACTATTAAGTATGTTTAAAATATAATAAGTTTTAGGTAGATGGTAATAGTTCTACAATGTGGTAGTGTGGTACTAAAGAATAATAAAATATAAATAAACAATGTTCATCAATATGTTATAATAATATGTTTATTATTCAAAACAAATATACTGAAATACACTATATAGCTTATAAAATATTTCCGAAACAGGCCTTCTTAGCGCTTCCTGATGGGCAATTGTGTAACTAAACTGCCGTAAAAACGGTACTCATTTATTTCTCATACGTACAATTGATAGTGACTACACCGTTTTACCTATACATCGTGCTCTGATCAAACGCAGTAAGTTGAGCTAAAATGTTTAAACTTTAAATATAGTAATACGGTAGTATAAGAAATGCCTGAAATACCTACCAATTATATTTATGTAATAATATATATTATGTTTTTGCGTCTTATTAAGACTAAAGTCAAAGCTGTATATATTGGGACACTGGTCGGACGGGTCACAGGTGTCTTATTTAATATAAAGTCCAGAAAACATTATAAAATGTAAAATGGTTCATATTTTGTACGACACACATTTATTTGGCTCTATATTTTATGAACAAATCGATTTTGGTTGTGTCTTGTGATTCAGGAAAATAATTCTATGAATAATGAATATTATAATAATTACGGAAACCCTAAATAGATAGGTACCTACTAAGAGATTTATTTTTATATTTGTGACTTGTCCTATATATTTACAAAGTATTCACCTATGTAATTCCTAAAGTATAGGTATGTACCTAGTGCTAACATATTACTATTAAGTAATAAAGAATCATTAGGTACATTATTTGTATTGGTTTTTCTTAAACAAAAACATACACAAGGTGGTTTACCTAGCATGTTCACTCTCTTTTTTATTTTTCAATATTGCAGTTACTAAAAATCTGATTTTTGACATTTTTAAATATTGTACTTACTTATAACCATATAGGCCATATAGGACATATAGATATATTTAAAATTTTGATATTTGTTGTAAATTTTTTTTTTTTTAGTATGGCACTATTTCTGGGAGTAGGCCCGAAGGCCTAGTTCGGAAGCCTATTTGGCAGAATTTCTTATAGGGCACCCGTAGGTTTCTGCCATGCCCGGTTGGGGGATGGCGGTCTCGCCGTCTAAATAGTTGGCTACCCAGAGAGCGATGCCGCCCTTGGTCGGGATTCGAACCGGCGACGGTGCGCGTTAGGAGTGTCCTGTGGGGGTACAAACTTCTATTTTTCAAATAAAAACCACTCTTTTAGTCCGTAAATTATTTAGCTGAAAATTATGACGTAAGTATTAAAATCAAAATTGGAATGAGTAGTTGTTGAGTTAATGAACTTTTGTGCAGGTACTAAAGATAATATATTTACGTTAATGAATTTGGAAGATATAGGGAGTATAGGGAGTCTGTTGGTTTAAAAAATTGTAGTAATAAATCCTATCTCTTAGTGTTAACAGACAAATAATTACGTGTGCGCCTTTATATTTTCTTTCGAAAACGGCTTCAATGATTTCGTCAGAATTTCCTACCTATAGATGTTTTTTGATACAAGAAAAATCAATCTGTATGATATCAACTTCGAGTACGTTGGCTTTTTTGAGTTATGCTCAAAAATCAGAAGCATGACTAGGACACCTTAAAACCGCTATTATTTTCATTTCTTTCTCGAAAACAATTTTATAAATATAAAAAAAAATATGTAATATAGTTAATAGAATTTGTTCACTAATTAACTACCGAAGAAAGCGCGGTATGAATTTTAAAAAACAATATTATTTTTTTTAAATTATTTTGGGCAATGTCACTCTATAATGTAATGCACACCAAATTTGAGTTTAATGACCAAATTATAATTTTAAGTTTTAACATTAACAAACAAATATATAATTCATAAAAATGGGGAATTATAATAAACACTTGATCTAATATTATACCTGCATAGTATATAGTCATAATTAATAATTATTATTATTGTTACTATAAAAGGTACAACAAAATAATCAGAAGATGATCATATTATTATTGTAAAGGTTCAAACAGTCAGACGACTGAAATTGTATTATATACCTTCACATTTAACATTTTTATAGGTATTATAAATTATAATGTTTATACATTTTAGATATTATAAAGATTTCATTTTTTTAATATACATTTTAAAGAAAGCAAGGATCATTTTATTTTTACCATTTTATATACTTTGGGAGTAGTAAAAAAGTTTCAGATATCATGTTTAATAGAATACAGATGATACTTTGAGATTGTCAGAATTGAAAAACACAACAGTCTTAGAGATAAAAAAAGAACAAAAAGATAAAACGTTAAAACTTTCTGTACATTTATTATCAAGTTATCATATTTTTTTTAAGTTTTCATTTTTTTTTTAATAATAAAAGTATTTCAAAAGGCAAAAATGCATATTGTTCTGGACCGGTAAAACGTGTGGTAGTTATACAAAGAACGCAAAAGATGGCAATCTACAGTAACCCATAAAGCATAAACCCATAAAGCAAGTTAAACTGTCACACGATTAATCCTTAAATTTATATTTTGATAATTTTATGAAGTATAAAATTATGGTTCTACATCGTTCTTAGTTTCGGAGATATGATAATCATATGTACTTTTAAAATGTTCATTGATAATATAATGAAATAATATTTCGTCGGTATTTGTTCAATTTATTATATCTACATGTATTCTATAATATACTAAATAAAGAATAACATTACTCAATATTTACCTCCAACGCCCATCACAATTGGTCCGGCATATGACAACTTATATAATATATGAGATGATTTTTTTGTTGTTTTTGTTGTACGTATGGATGTACTTGAATTACCACTGTCAGTTTTCGCGATAATGTCATCTGATGAAAGCTGTTCTGCATAATATCCTGTATAAAAAAGTGTACAAAAATGTGTCAGCAATGTTAATAAAATATATTTTAAATCGTTAGGTACCAAAAAAAAAATCATAATGATAATACATTTGCTAGGATAGGATTATTAAACATTTAAATCAAAACTTAACATATAATTAAAAGTATGTAAATTCTAAAAATTTGAATCTTTATGCTGATAGGCGAATAGGCGATAACAAAATGATTTAAAATATAATATTTCAGGTAATAAGTTACAAAATATGATGATTTACAAAATGTTAAACTGGTATTTGTAGTTTTTAATGATATTCTTGTTTTTTAGATACCTACTTGTGTAAAAAAATATAATAAATATGATGTATTAATAAACTTATTGTTTTTATTCGGGGTTTCAACAATATTTTAAAAATTGTTATTGGTACGATTTTTGGTATATCATGAGTTGGGGTTATACGCAAACACTTCTAATAGAGACTCACTTTTTATGGTTTTCAAGGATAAATCAGATTCTTTATTGTGACCATTTAAATTTTTTTTTTACCAAAAGATTAAAAATCTTAGCGAGCTCCAAAAAAGGTCTCATGGCAGTCAACTCATAGGTATATTAACAAAAAAAAAAATGTACAAAGATAAAAAATAAATAGATTTTTAGTTTTGTATAAACTGTGTTTGTGTTAGAATGAATTGGGTGAAATGGTTTGGATACTACTCACAAGTCACACAGTACCTATATTAATGTTTATTAATCCAAATATCAAAGGGAAGAAAAAAAGTAATAAAAATACCAACTTAGGAGACGAAGTTCTAATATACGCCATATTATTATATACACAAATGATAAATCATAAATAATATAACGCTTGCAAAACCATGGTGTATTAATAATGTATCTACTGTTTTCGTAACTTATTATCAGAACCAATATATCCCTAGTATACATTTTAAGAATTTATAATAAAGAATTGTATTCAACGTCTCAAAGTGTAATTGTATAGCTATAATACTACAATATAATATATAGTAGGGTACTAGGGTACTGGGGTACTGGGGTACTATAAGGATCATAACTCATAAGTGAACTTTTAATATTGTATGAAAGAAGGCCAAAATCGTTTTAATAAATTTAATATAAATAGAAAGGTAGCTTAGTAAACAAATGGGGCTGTAGAAGCGTAGAGTTTACCTACATTCAGAATGATATTAAAGTTATTTAATAATGAAATTTATAAATCATTAGGTGGAGTGTCCTAGTTTTCAAATTGTATTAATCCTTCTAAAGTAGAACATTTGATTTGTACCTTTTATAAAGATTTATATACAATACTCTTTTAATTGAACTTTGAATAGAAGTTAATTGAACAAGTTTTAAATTTTAGTTACCTACACTTGATTTTGTTTTGTACTGTTGGGTTCAGGATCACTAAAGTTTATGTATGAAAATGTTTATTCGTTTCACGTAACTCTCTATATAGTTCTACAACTATTTTCAGCCTGAAGGTAACTATATTAAACATCTCATGTAATCGGATTAAAGTCAACTTTTGTTAAATATAATAAATTTATAATTTTGAAACAATATATTTAATTAAAATATCAAATATGTATATGGTATAAAAAAGAATAGTCCTTATTTATACCTCATTCAAAAACTTAAAAGCAGGTCCCGTCTACCTACTTTTTATATAGATTGTATTTTACCAGCTCACCTAACCTTTAATCATAATTCATAAAAAAATCCAAACCTACATACTAAAATTGATTTAAAATTATTTATCATTCAAACGTCCATTTTGCAAGACATAAAAGTGAAATCCTTCAAATAATAAAACTGAAAAAATCTATAAAAATTTTGTTATTTTGTTATTGTTGAATTTTTAAATTATTTTATAATACCTACCTATATATTTATAGTATAATATGCATAAGTAAATTAAACTGAAAGATAAGAATATTATTGGGTTTTCATTAAAATAAACTTATACATTGTTATAAAATTATAAAAAGAACCTTTGAACAATTTTTACTAATTTACTTTTATTCTGTACAGGTATAATTTATAGATAAATATAGTTCTGGTTATGCGAATCATCAGTTGCATAATATCGCATACAACTCAGCCCAATTTATATTCATGTTTGAATGGAATGTATGTTAATTTTACGAACATAATATAAATAAAAAAATACAAATCTGTCAATCGATTATAGGCTATAAGTTCGACGAATGTCAGTGTGGGGTAGGTAACTGGTACCTACATGTATCATTACTCAATAATTCCAACAGCAAACAAACCAACTATAGATAAGTAGTACTTATTAAGTACGCTCTATTTAGTAAAAAGTATATTATTTTTATTACGGTTTAATGTTGAGTAGAATTAATTAAAAAGAAAATCAATTTTAAAAAACAACAACAATTGATTTTACTGGTGAGTGGTGTTTAACAAGTGTTGATTAATAACCTATTAATACATAAATCATAATTAAGTGACGATTAAACCACACAAATATTTGTTTAATTGTCCAGCTATATGTTTGTTGACAGTTTGGCATAAATAGCTCTTAAAATGTACATATTTAAAACATATTAATTAAGTAGAATTTATTTCTAAAAATAATTAGATTACATTTGTAAATACGACATTGATGGTGGATATTATAATTACTTTGATTGTTAACAGAAATAATATAATCTAATCTCAAAATATTATTTTTTAAACATATTTGAAGTTGGCATGTACACAAAATATTATGCCTGGTATCTCTATCAATAAAAATATAAAATATAATTAATCATCATGCTTGGAGTGAAAATATTATAAAAATATTTATTAAATTTTTTCATGGTACTTTAAACTGTTTTTTGCACCATGAGAGTACTTTTAAAAATCTATTATTAAACATAAATAAAAATAACAACCTACTGCAGGTCACTATTGCGATAAAATATGATTTCAGGCATTAATAAATTTAATTTTAACAGGTCATTAAATGTTTTTCTGATTAATTCTGATATTCGCGAAAGAAATATATACCTATAGTCTATACTGTATAAGCATTAACTATTAATCATGTATCCCATATATTATATTTATATATCTTCATAAATATAAAATATTTTCCCAACAGAAAATAATAAAAAAAACACTGATACTTTGATATAATAAATAGGGTGGAAAATGAGAAGAGATTTAACCTAAGGATTATACGGATCAACCGCTTCAGTCTGATGATATTTTTATTACTTAGATATTTCAATGAAAATGGTATTAGTGTCTAAGAAAGCATTTTTCTTGATTTTTTATACACACCCTATATTCGAGTATGACCCAATTGCTATCAATAATATAAATGTATACAATATATTTAGTATTTATTGTATATTTTATTTCAAGTTAAAAGTTGGCACCAGTCACTGGTTGGTCATCACTGATTTAAAAGCTACGTAGAAAAAACAACCGTCTATGTCCATGATATAGGACAATAATACAGATTAATAATAAAAAAACTCAAATTATTTTTGTAATATTGAATAAATATTTTTTCGATGAAAGTAAGAAATTTTATACTTCACCTGAAAGTATAAAACGAGCCCTGCAGGTCTGCGCAATATATAATACGAATCAAAACACAAATCCTTGTTCAAATATTATAATATTATTATAACTAAGGGTATATATCAATAATAATGATCTTTTAAAAATAAACGGGCCTGAAATCCTAACGATTATTAATAAGAACGTTACGACCGTACTCGCTGGCATGTAATAAACGTCGTCTGGGAAATGTTCGAATTTTTCGAGTAAACTGATTTTGAATTGCAATTCGAGTTCATTTGCAATTTAAAATCTGACCTGAAAACACCAAAAGTAAAAATGGCCACCACAAGTGACTTCGCTGAAGAAATCGTCATGATATAAGTTGTTACAACAGTTGATATATGGGTTATGCCAACGGGCAACGGAGGATGAAGAACAACTTCCACTAGAAGATAAAGATATTTTAGATCCGAAACTAGAGGAAGATTATGACGAAGACGTACTATTACCAGACATTATTTGGTTATTTGGTCAACATAATGCGGTTGATACCGTATGCACGATGGAGGAAGGCGGCGGTGACGCTGCAGCAGTAGTACTGGCGCCCTCCGAGACGCTTGGATCAACCGAGCAGGCAGAGTACTGCAGGCTGCAGCAGGCCGGCGATGACATGCAGGTGCAACAGTACAAGGCAGAAATGATTACATCTGTGTGATTTGAAGGAGTGAGGGGCACTGCTACACTGGACCGGAATAAAGAACCGGAGACAACCACTGCAGTTACGAGCAGTTACGGACAAGGCGGTTTTTCAAGGACGGCCACAGGATGGTGACACAAAGTCGAGTCATCAGGGCGAAAATTGGAGATGATCAGGACCTTGGAGTGCTTTGCGGTGTGGTCCGACGATCCGACGATCGGTGTGGTCCGGCAAAATATCGCTAAGCTATCAGCTAAAGCAACATCATCCTTGAAATGTTATAGAAACATGTTTCCAAGACGTTGAGATATTATTATATTACATGTTTATAGGATGTTGGTGTACAAACACAAAATAGAAACATGAAAACAGGTACACGATGTTTAGCAAACGTTTCCGGGCGCTGTTAGCATTGAAACTTAAATCGTTCAACGTTTTGAAACATCAAATGCACAGTGGGTTGTATTTAATATCTGAATCCATCCAAATACAGCTTATAGTTTATACCTTTAGTTTGTTTTTACATACTACAATTAATATTATTAATGGGAATTTTAAGTAGACTTTAATATTATGTCAATATATTGATAATTATTTATTTGGTTTAAATTGTATCCATATTATTCCTACTTAAGTTCTATAAATTACCCTTGCTAGCTGCTCGATAATGATTAGAATTTCTCTACTATTTATTACGTCAACTATGTATACATATTTAATATAGGCAGTGGCGTTGACATGATTTCTGAAAGGGAGGGCTCATGAAAAGAAAACGACATAGCTAAATGGGAGGGGAAATTGGAAAATCCCCCACCCTCTCAACATTTTTTACTTAAGTAGTAAAATATTTAACAATAGGGATTAATGAATATAATTTGAATTGGTTCAAAATGCACATTTAACATAATATGGAAGATTATACACTCCAAAGCCAATGAGAAGAGATCTGACCCCCACTCCACCCCTTGTATACGGCACTGAATAGGTAAGGTGTCTTTTTGTAGTAGTTAATCGTTACACCAATACTGCCCCAATGGCCAATACGACTAAACTGATTTTAAAATGATCGTGTATGTATGTATTATAAGCCCTAAGGGCTTGTAGCTTTGGTACACTAGCCCCGTCCGATTGTCTTCGATTATTATCAGTGGTTCTATGCTAAAATTAGCAAGATCACTGTCAGTTACTTGAGCATAGTTTTTAGCACAAATAATTATCTTTTTACTGACATATAGAATCCTTTTTGTTAGACACTAAAAATTCGTGGTTTTGTTAAACGTTGATGTGCTCAGAATAAATTTATAATGACGATTAACTATACTGTGCCCTAGTACGCTCTATCGATGGGATCCACATACAATTAGTTATAGTTAGTTTTTAGCGCATAGGTACGCCGTAAATTGTTGTATTTTCCTGGATATATGTTAAAAATTGTACATCTGCCACATGATCATACTCATGTTCTTAATACATTATAATTGTCCTCAATAGCTGATAGAAAAGTCCAAGCAAATTTATTTCTAAGCTAACTTACCCTCAAGTAAAATAGACTCTCAAAATCAAACACTATTTCAAAGTTCAAAAGTTCTTTTTTATCACGGAATAACTATCCATTCTATGTTCCTTTGTGTACAAACTACAAGCTATGCTGCTAATTAGCCTCTTGTAAAATGATGCGGATTGCCAAAAATCATCTTTCTCTTCTTTATAACTTTACATACCTACAAATATATATCCGTATTCCATATACTATATATTTGGTACATTTTCTTATTTCATATTAATTAATTATTTGAAACTATATAATATACATGTAAATGTTATTTTAATGTAACCATTGAGCTACCAGTCCATACTATTAATAAAATGAAATAAAAAAATAAAAATATTTTAACAATTTAGAATAATTAAAATAGCCCGTTTTTATGATAATCTTATATATTATAATATCATATTTTCAAATTTATAAGTTTGAATTATATAATTCTACTGTAGATTATTATATAATATTATAATATATTATATTATCTAGTCTAACCTAATATAACATTTAGTGCAAAATATTGTAGTTATTATAATAATGTACTAGAGAATCGAATTCAATATTCATCATATTGTATTGTATTTCAAATATGTCAGTACAATATTATTTATTTTAATATACATTTTTATTATAATAGATGGATGAATATTTTCGTTTTTTAATAGGTATTTCGTTTGAGTAGTAAAATGTAAAATATGTACATACCAATAATGGCCATTATGGCTCCGACAGCCATCAGAAACAATCCAAAAGATAACGCTTTGCATGCGTTCCAAAAGCATTTCTCCGCAATCGCTTTACTAGCAGCACTCAAAATTTGAACGTCTACATTTGTTCGCCGATCTAAACCAGACATCCGATATGAAGAGCTACATTGCCGCATCACTGTATACATAACAAATAAAATATTTACATTAAATAAGATGTTCATGTTAAATAAGAAATACATTTAATTTGTATAGAAGATATTATGCATTTTAGTCGATTATATAATAATACACAAAATACATATTTATCGATTAAATCTAAATAATATTCGTTATCTGCTGAGCTACCACAAAGTACTTGATTATCTACCAAATTATAATAATACATTTCTCACAAATTTAAAAAAAAAATATAATACAGAAAACGCTTGAAATAATCCAAAGTTTTTAATATCAGTTATACGCGTTATATTCTCTAACTTTTTGTCGGGTTGCTACCATTTGGAGTATGAAATAAAAAACTATAATTTGTTCACATTAAGTATTAACCTATATCATTTTCTAAATTGCTTAGTAATAATCAATAGTCCCTTAATACATCAAGTTATTTTTTCATTAAAACGGCGTACGACGGTACAATATATTGTTATATTAAATTCTTTATACGAAAGATGAAAAGACGAATTCCACACAATAACAATGTATGTTTAGGGATGAGAAAAATTTATATTTTATCATTTATTTGAAATAAATATAAAAAGGGTAAAAAAAAACTTGTATAATAATACCATAATATATAATATAATATTACTCTATTAGCATATGGTATCTATACCTAATTGAGTACTTCGAATAGCATGAGACATGAGTACACATTACTTGTCATTATATATTTATATACTATTAAGAATGACGATATATAACGTATTAACAGGTACTATATACCTATTGGTATCTGGGTAAACCGCCTATGGGTAAAGCAGTGTTGTAAAAAATACTTTTTAAAAGTATTTAAAATACCACCCAAATACTATAAATAGTAAAGTATTTGAGTAATACTGATTGGTAAATTCTGATTGGTCGTGTTATTTGCAAAAAAACAATGAACTTTGAATGTATCCTTAGAACACAAAATAAATAACTAAAAAAATTGATTCAGATAGGTCAATTTTTTCAGAAAAATCATCCACTAAATAATAATAATAAATAGTTTAATAATTTAATTTCATTGAATAAGTAGGTACCTAATAGTAATTTATCCCTAACATGCTTGGTGAATCACGCTGTATGTAGACATATAATACCAAAATCCAACTTAATTCGTGTTCACTTCCCGCATCTCTTTAAATAGGTATATATACATTTTATTCAGAAAGCTGGTTTCTCTATTCAATTCATTATTTAACTATGTGGTTAATTCAACATTAAATATACATTCATAATTTATTAATTTTGTTACATATTTTGTAAACGTCGAGCAAGCCACTCGATCTATAGTATTTAATTTAAATAACGTATACTAAATAATATTTAAATGATTTTTATGATTGATAAGGCTTACATAAAGGTGGATATATAGCTCAAATATTACCTACAAAGTTTAAGTCATGGATTAAATTATTAAATTTAAAACTGTTATGGTCTGCTAGTTTGTTAGGTCATTTATTTGTTTTTTCATTACCTACATTTTATGACATTTTTATCGATTTCTGTCTTTGAAAAGTACTTAAACTATACACAAAAAAATATTAATGACTGTTAATACTTTTCAATCGTGTGATTAATTATGGACTATGGTTCTAATATTTATTTAAAATAATTTTAATTTTGTCGTAATACTAATAACAGAATGAAAACCGTACAATAATTATTTATTGTTCAAACATATAAAACAACCACGCTATTGTATTTCTGCTTTAAAAGGGTTTTTTCATAACTTTAGGCAGGTATAATATCATACGACACCGGCCGGTCACTTCCCCAAGGCGGTAAAATACGATTGAGAACGTTATTTTTGGTAACACGATTGGGGGAATGCTCGATATTTAATTTATTTCCAACGTTGCCAAATTTCATCGAACTATAATTTGATCACGATAGTCGATAATATTTGAGTACCATATTTAAGGATTATTATCCTTACAGCATGAACATTCTGTGAACTCAGAAACTACTTGTTACTATTTTGATTTAGATACATCAACATTTTAATGAGAATCGCCCATAAAATAAGGGGATTTTCATTTGAAAAATTGAAGTTTGCATCGTCACAGGACACTCATTGTAGTATAAAATGATCAGGAATTTGAAAATATGGTCTTCAGGTATACTTAAAAATTGAAAAAAATCAAAATAAATTGAGGTGAGCATGTTTAAAAAAATCATTCTGTATAATATATATTGTTTTTATAAGTTCTACATATTATATTTGTATATTACATGTTTTATTCATATTATATATTACATATCTATTATTAGGTGATTTATATTTTTATAAGATTATAATTATTAATTTATGACTTTTCAAGAATATTTAATTTAGGTATAGTTATATTACTGAATCTTTCAATAGCCAAATAAATTATATGGCAACGCTGCACGTAATTTCGTTCAAATCGTATTCTTTTTTGGGTTTTTTGGGGTCAGCGGTAAGTTCTTTGTTAATTTTAAGTGTTCTCAATCGTTAGGCCAAAAAGGTATAACGTTCTATGGTACGGCCCCACTGAACATATTGCATATACTATAATAGTAGATAGGTATAATATATATATTTAAGTTCTGTAAAATATATTACTATATAATAATATTTGTTGTGAAAAAATAATGCCTTACAATCGGTAAGTATACAATATATTATCATACCTAGTAGGTAGTAAGGTATAATATACTGTTTATGACTAAAGTGTATTGTGTATATACTATATTCTAATAATCATATTTATGTAAAGTATTGTAACCTATTAAAATAGTTTTTATTTAATACATGAAAGGTTTAACAATTTATGACTTAGTATACATTTGTACTCAAATAAAAGGTGTCCCAGTATACCAAAATCAATAATACTACTATAAATTTAATACCTACTAATAATAATAAATAATAAATTATTGTATTATACTATTATGACTACTATGTCATTATCGGGTCGCTGGATTTCGAATTATACCATAAATTAACAATAATTCATAGAATATTAATTATTGATACTACCTAATGATATTCGGTATTTAAATAATATTATAATACATATATATAATATTATACTCTTACATATTTGTGTATTTTTATGCATCAATGACTATATTTTACTATTTTAATTTATCTAATTATTTATATTATCTAGTATAATATATTGAATATTTTATATGTATATGTAATAGAAAAATAAAAAAATTTGACTTACTATAGAATTAAAATTCAAGTATTACTAATGTCGTAAGTAATACGATTCCTCGAAATATTCTTTAATAATAATAATAATAAATATACTTATTTAGTATTTACTGAATTCTCTCTTTTTTCATAAAAGTACCTAATCTATAGTTTATAATAATACTCTGCAGAGAATTAATGATTAACAGAATCGCAATCAGAAATTGTTTGACGGGCTAAGTTTAAAAGTTATAGCTAGCCATTTGAAGTTTCTGGATTTATTAGTTTTATTATATAAATATATAATATATAGGTATTAGCGTGCTCGCAGCAGTCGAGGTAAAAGTAACTCGAAATACTACACAAAAATTGTTGTCAAATCGAAATTAACTAAATCTTTCATTCTATGCCTCTACTGCAGGCTCAACTAGTAACCAACTATTTTTAGTAGGATTTCGATCAATACGTGGTGTAGGAATTGACATTAATATAAATACTTAGAATAGAAATATATACCACCCACGTTGGGCTAGGTGGCCTGTAAATACCACGTAAATTCTTTTATTTTTGTCTCATTTATAGGTATAAATGGTATAATTATAGTACTTTGTACATATTTTAAATATTTATAATATTATGTGTATCGTGTATGTCTATAGTCTCTATATAAGTATACAATTAAAACAATAACTACAAAAACCCAGTACTCTAATAGTTGTTATATTGTTTGACTTGAATGGGTTAATGATTATATTTATTAATTTAGGCAAATTTCGTTTAAAATAATTCTCTCAGAATTAGCCTTCTAAAAGTGATTAAAAATGTACATTATTACTTATTTTAGTTCAAGAAAATCACGTGAAATTAATACATAATTCTACGTTATACTGCTGTTGCGATCAGGAGTAAAATTAATTAATTAATTTTCTCTTGTAGTCTAAACTTCAAGTTTCCCTGGTAGGTATACGACAGAAGAACGAAGTCGTTCATCAACGAGACGTATTGTCATTTCCATCACAAGAAAACACATAATTATAATAGGTATATAAGACAGCTCTAATTACATTATGATAATATAAATACAAGGCTGGTTAATGATTTTTTTTAACTCAGTTGAGTTAAGTTGATATGCATCAACAACAGAAAGTTAAAAGTTAAAAGTTAATTTAACTATAGATTAACTCAGTTAAGTTAAAAGTTAATATACACTTTTTGTTAACTTTTTATTAAGTTAAAAAAAAGTTAATTTGTTTATACAAGGCTAGAGTACTTAATTTTTTTAAAACCCAAAACTAAATTATAGACCTTATAGTGTTTATACTTTATACAGTATTTCCATATAATTTAGATTCCAATGATATAAATTTTTAACTTTAAAAAATTCAAGGTAAATATTTGTTGACATGAAAATTGAAAACAAAATAGACTGAAATAGTGAAATATAGTAAAATTAAAAATAAAATAAATTAACTTAACTTACTTGTTAAAATCAAAAATTAACTCGTTAATTTCACGTGAATTAAAAAAGAAATTTTGTAAGTTAACAGTTAAGTTAATGAAAAGCCAAAAGTAACTAGTTTAGTTAAAAAGTTAAAATAAAATTAACGTTTTAACTCGTTAATGCCCAGCCTTGTATAAATATATATATATATATAGGTACCTACACATAGTACCTACCTACCACACCCTCTATGGCTCTATACATTTATTATTCTATTAAAATTATATGCCTACTCGAATTATTATTGCACAGCGCGAGTAAATTAATTTAATATTTTTTAGAATAAAAAGAATTGACATTGG